GCAGGCCGGTGCTGGGGTGGTTTTGCTCTGTGACTGTCTCTTATACACATCTAGATGTGTATAAGAGACAGGCGCAGTACAGTGGAGAATATGGTTTATTTACGGAGACGTTAGTAAAGGTGGTGAAGCAACACACTGCTGATGGCACGCTCGACGATCTTTCGAACTACCATTTGATTTCCTGTGTGGCCGATATCATGATTAACGAGATGAGTATTGAACAGAAGCCCGGGTTGGAATCATCGTATGAGAATGCCAAGCATCCATTCATCTTGGGATTAAGGAAGCAAGAAGAGCCAAAGGCAGCGAACGGAGAGGCAGACGACAAGAAGGGAGATGAGTCAGCGGCTGAATCTAAAGCAGAATCCGATCCAGATACCAAGCCAGCAGCTGCTGAGCCAAATGCGGAGCCCAAGAATAAGGAGGGAGTCGAAAGTAGCCAGAAGCCGGAATTATCGAGTGCCAATGTGAAAGAGAATGGTGTAGCGAAGGACGCCAAGGAAACCAAGCCTGGAGCCGATAAAGCACAAAAGACTGCAGCTGCCAGCAAGTGATTTATGTGTGGTCGCCATCCTGGTTGGTTGTTTAATCGAAGGAGACAGCCATTTGCTTCCCTCGGTTGTAAATATGCCCACATGAGAGCAGGAGTGGTAGAAGGAGATTTGGGAGGCGCAAAAGATGTGTGCAAAGCATGTAAGCAACATTCCTCTTTGATATTACGACCTTGCCAGTTTGTTGAAATTGTAGATGTTTTCTGCGTGCAAGTGCCGAACAGTGTCCTACACTTCTAACATTGCAGGACCACCTTATTAGGAACGAGCAACTCTTTACGCTATTATCACATACATAACAATGATCGCAGCTCTAAAACAATGAGGATGCCCACTATACAAGAACACACACAACACACACACACACACACACACACACACACACACACATGTTCACACACACACACACACACACACACACACACACACACACGTGTTCACACACACACACACACACACACACACACCTGTCTCTTATACACATCTAGATGTGTATAAGAGACAGCTACCAGCTGGAATCAGGACCAGCTTCGCTGTATAGAACACGCGAGTCCAATAAGCAGAGTTGAACTGAGCTCTTTCAGTTTGCGCATTCTTTT